CGGGGCCGCGCGCACCTGTCCCGGGCTGGGAACTCCGCAGCCCCAAATTAATAAGTAACGCGAACCCTCAGGTCTGCAACGCGGTGTTAACGCAGCCTCCACCACTGACACGTATCGGCACTTACCAGTTTTGACGGGAATATAGCTAAGATGCTCTTCAGCTCACCCATTCCCTTCCTCTCCCCCCCCCATATAGATACAACTCTATAAGTCTATATGTATATTATGTATTTTTCCATATAATATGTCGCTGCACTGATACTTTGTGATCTCACCCTAGTTTTATGTTTTGAAAAAGCTATTTAAAGAAGCTTGGAAGAGAGCACATTAGGAAGCTTTACAAGCAGGTTGGAGTGTGGGGTGGACTTAAATTCGATGTAAATTCAAGGGTAAAAACAAAAACAAAACGAAAACAAACCACGGAGTTTTCCTTTGGAAAAAAAATACAGTTAAACAGACACACATACAAATGTGCATTCTTAGATTCTGGTCAATATTTAAAGCGGTATAATCAACAGGAAGGAGCACTTACCTATTGAAAAGGACGGTTTTAATAATATATATTAATATATATAAGCTCTATGTCTTCCCAATAAAATGTATACAAAATACCCCTTTCGATCAGATTAGCTCCCATATTAGCCTGGGTAAGAAAAAGCATTCTAAAGAGTGGAGGAGAAAAATGTATAAAAATGTTGAAAGAACCTACAGTTCCTTATTAGGCGAAGATACAATATTTATTCCTTGTCTCCTGGGATGAAGCTCCTCTATCTATTGTCCTCCCAGTTCTCAGTGCTGATGCTTAATTTTCAAAACTTCTATATTACCAAGGGACCTACGACATCAGCCAAAGAAATACCCAGCAAGTACAAAATCTGATCCAGGGAGCAGCTTTTGTGCAGAGGGAAAATTTTGTTCCTACAGGTTTTTAAGGAGGTGCATGGAAAAGCGAGAGATCTGATCTATGCAGATACATTGCAAATTCTCTCTGTCTGTAGAGATTTTTTTCTAAAAAAAATTGGGGAAATACACGAACTTTGGATTTTTTTTAATTTTGTTTTTATTTTTTTTAATTTGGAGAGGGGAATTTTATCCAGAGTTTTTTTCTTTTTCTTTTTTTTTTCGGAGAACCAAAAAATGTCAACTACCTTTCCAGGTCTCGTCCACGATGCAGAGGTATTTTGTGTGTGTGAGAGTGTGTGTGCGTGTGTGCGCGCGTGTGTGTGTATGTGTGTGTGCGTGTGTGTGCATATGTGTGTGTGTATGTGCCTGTGTGGTTGTTTCCATTTTTTTTTAAATCCATATTGGACCGTTACATTTAATTATAATCCGGCTTCAGAGATAACTTAAAGAAGTATAGAGAGAAAATTCGTTATGACATCTGTCGCCAGAAAGGGCAACTCATTACCACGTTAAAACCGTTGCCAGAACGAAAATCAGAATAATACCCCTAATAATATAATGAAGTGGAGAGAAATCACCAGCTCGCCAGGAATAGGGAGTTCTCGCTAAAAAGCAGGACTCCCCTTTTCTTTCGAAGCACAGGAAAAGGAGGGGGGGAATTTTGGATCTGATTCGTTATTTAAAAAAGAAAGAAAAATAGGGGTTCAAAAAAAAAGGGAAGGGAAGGAAGAGAGAAAGGCGAGCAGGCGGCAAAGCTTTCTCAATGTGTAACGCTCTAACATAGGGACGGGACTTGTGTGTATTCTCGTTAGTTTCTTCTGTTTGATGACTTTTTGTGTCAGCCCCAGATACTACAGCTGTGATCAGGAGGTGGATGGATAGATGGATGAACGGACACATACATAGATAGATTTTTATTTCAGTGCGTGGATTCCTTTCGCTTGACGGTATTAAGGGCAGCCTGGGCTGTTTATGATTTTTTGAACAGACCTTTATGGCACCAGCCCAAGGTAGGAAAGGAGCTTTTGTTGCTGGGGTTGCAGCTCGCAGGCTTAGACGCTTCTGAAGGGCGAGAAGCGATGCAGGACAGCGTGCTTGGAAGACCCGCACCCGGGGTTTTAAATGACAAACCTCCAGTTTTTGGGTCTTCTTTTCACTTCTTCCTTTCAGATACGTCACGATGGATCAAACAGTTACCGCTTGATGCAGCTGGGATGCCTGGAGTCTGTGGCCAACTCGACCGTCGCCTATTCCTCCTCTTCTCCGCTCACTTACTCTACCACGGGCACCGAGTTCGCCTCCCCGTACTTCTCCACTAACCACCAGTACACCCCCCTGCACCACCAGTCCTTCCACTACGAGTTCCAGCACAGCCACCCGGCCGTCACCCCTGACGCCTACTCCCTCAACTCCCTGCACCACTCGCAGCAGTACTACCAGCAGATCCACCACGGGGAACCCACCGACTTCATCAACCTGCACAATGCGCGGGCGCTCAAGTCCTCCTGCCTGGACGAGCAGAGGAGGGAGCTGGGCTGCTTAGATGCTTACCGCCGCCACGACCTGTCTCTTATGAGCCATGGGTCCCAATATGGGATGCATCCACCCGTACCCTCCCCGTTTTCCTCTGCTCAGAATAGCTCTCGTGTAGCTCATACAAAGGGAGGAAGATTCACCCCAAATCCGGTCCAGAGACCGTCCCCTTCACAATAAGAACAATAAAAAATGTGAAGGGGGAGAAAAAAGTAGTCTTTCTTGGCCAAACAAAACAAAACTCGCACCAGACTTCACGGCGTAGCTTGTGTCTCTGTTTAGACGGAGACCGTGGGATTCGTCAGGAGATTTCGGGGTGTGGGTGTGTGCATTAACCTAATCAAAGTCATTAGTAATAGGCAGAAACCAAACCATAACAAACGCACCTTCCTGCTTTTCTTAAACTTTTCCTTTCTTTCGGCGAGCGCAGCCGTTTAAATAACTTGCACCGACATAGCAGGCAAATGTGCTAAGGAAGGGATGAAGTGGGAAAGCAGAAAAAGACAGGGCAAGAAAGAAAATCTATTTTTCCACATACATACAAAGGCAAACCTCTCATTGAACTCTGAGGCATAAAGCAGGAAAGAAATAAAAAGAAGCAAATATTCGTCAGAAATATTCAGTATGATAAAAATTCCTCGCAAAATCAGATCTAGATATTAATAGGGAGAGATACAAACAGATGAAGCTAATTTCTTCTATGTATCTATCTCTCTAACCATTCATCAGTCCACCGTTTAACCTGGATCCGGACCAGTCTATTTATAAGCATCATAACCTGGCTTCTGTCCGCTCAGAAATCCTTTCCCCATCAACTAAAATTCACCGCTGGTAAACTCAGCTAGTACCTTAAATGAAAACTGTTTTCAGAATGGAAAACAACGCCCTCCTGTAAACCACGTTCATTTCGGAAAGCTCTCCCAAATCAAATGCAAACCCTCCTTCTTCCGACGAGCAGAAAAACCGTAGGCTACCAAATTTGACTGTATTTGCTGTACTTAGTTCCCCCCCTAGTCTCGCTTACAGTCACACAAAGGTCGCTATGTTGCTCTTTCCAAAGACATGTAGGAGTCAAAATCTCGGAAAATCCCGAAGTTTGTACAATTAAGAAAGCTTATTTTCTACCCTTTAAAAAAGAACTCGCAAACCCTCTATTATTTCAACAGCGAGAAAAAATATTTTTTTTAAAAAAGAGGAAAAAAAATGCCAACAACCTAACAAAAATACTATCTTTTACGTCCGCGTGGAGGAAACTTTAACAATTTAAACCTGACTTTCCATTAAAATTCACTATATGATTTTATCTTCTCTGGACATTTTTTGTTTACATTTTTCATAAGCATCTCCTTATGTTACCCCCCTCAAAAAAAAAAAAAAAAAAGAAATCTGTCATTCACTTCTCAGCCCAACTAAAACCTATTTACTCCTTTTTATAACCACGTCTGCTGCTGATTTTTTTGTATCTGTACAAATTTTTTTTCTTTGGCAGGCACAAAGCCTTGTATTTTTCAAAAGAGGGGATTAGGAACGTTTGCAAGACAGCAGACAATGCCTAAGTCCCGGGCAAAAAAGCACCATAGTTTATCCAATTTTCGACTTAGTGCCATTCAACTGGTCATTTATGCAATGTCATCCGACCAAACAACACGTTTCCCTTTTTTTTTAAAAAAAAAAAAAAGATTGGTTAAGCAGCTAGAGGCATATTCTTTTTTATTTATTTAAAGAGGAAAATATAAATGCATTTCTTTCGAAAATATTCATCTTTCGATCACACTTTGTTCGAAGATAAATATCTTCATTTTCTACTTACGTCTTTGTACCGAACCATTTATTTAATTTCCTCCTTCCTCTTTGCCGAAAAGAAGACAGAAGTGTATTGAGGTACCGAAAAGCTTGAGCAGTGAGAAGTTGAAAGTATTAATATTTATCTTTATGATTTAGATAATTCGGAACAAACTCGGGCTGTTGTGACTATCACCTTGGGCGTAATGGAAAGCGTTTTGGTGGCGAACAGAAATAGGACTGCACGCAAACACTTTTAAACAAAAATTGTGGTCTAACCAGTCTTCTCCCTTTCTCCTTAGTCTTTCTTTTTAAAACGTTCATCAGCATATGCCTCATTTCAAATGCAACAAATGTAAATATACTTTTCCCTGCACAGAATTTTAAGTGAATGTCCAATAGTTTCGAGGGCGGTTTAAGTCAGCCTAACAGATGCAAACAGTCTTGGAGCTGGAGTGGCATCTTTCAGTGCCCTAAAAAGATTTTCCATGGGCAACAAAGAAAACTGTCACACCTTTTCCCATCACCGCTTTAATTTATGCTCAGTCGCCAAGTTTTTTTCATATTGATTTCATAATCACTTTAAGGCAGAACACTTAAAATAAAAAAGAGCCTTGAAAAGGAAGGTCTTACAGGGCCAGCGCCAATATGGTGAAAGTGGGGGAGAGAGCCAGGACTGTAAAGGTTGTTTTGTAAAGTGGGGTTTTTATTATGCACCGACTCTCTCCGCATTTACTTAACTCTTCACGGGCTGTTGAGTAGGTTAACACCCTTAAAGGCCTCTTTCATGTCCAATACCTCGTTTGTTTGTAAAGGAAAATGCGTCTTTAACACATTTCCACCGGGCAAAGATTTAGGTTTGGTTTGTTGTGTTCTTTGTAACCCCCAACATAAGGAATACCCAAAGAAAACCCAACCCTTTCAAGTCTTTTATGATTCCAATAAAAATATTTATGAAGGAGGGCGAAGATCTCAAAATAATAAGAGTCATAACAGGGGAATAAAGAAGGGGGCTCTGTTCGGATGTACAGCAGAATCCGTAGGCAGGCTTTGGGAGGGTTCTTCACGCCATACTCACATATATGTGCCTGTGTATCTGTGTATACTTGCATGTATGCACAAAGATGCATATCCTTCCCCACTTACGGACAGACAAATGCGCCGATAGACGCGTATCCTCGTCCCCATTGTCACTTTCCTTGACTTTGCATAGCCGGCAAAGCCAATAGCTCTTCTTTGTGTATTTCTACTTACACTTTGGAAGTCGGTATATACGTGTGACTAAACATATATATTTAGATGTGAACATATATATATATATTCATGTATGTAAACACACAGATATAGGATATAAATCTGTGTATTTTTAAAGTTTCTGCGTGCCAAGGCACATGTATTTATGCGACTGCAGGGCGCGTACATATCTGCAACGTCTGAACATACTATTCTCTCAAGAATACTTGTTTGTGTCTCTATCCTGCCATATAACTGCCGACCTATCTCCTCAGTCCAGGAGAAACTCATATTTAAACGACAAAGAAAGTCAAATTATTCTGCGTTTCATTGGGTGGAGGTAGACTGCAGGATGGCGGTGTGTTTTCGCGTTTGAATTCGATAAGAACAGTTGTGTTTTTCCAGTTCACCTTAACTATTGTTCCTGAGCGAGCCCTGTGACGATGCAAAAGCAATGTGATCTGTCTGTGGGTTTCTGTATCTGATTTTTTCTTTCCTTTCTTTCCTCTTTTTCCCCGTCATTACTTAAGAGCTCAGTGGAGGCCCAATGTGGACTTGTACTGAACGGGCAAGGAGGTGTGATAAGAAGAGGTAAGAGGTTGCAAATACTCATGTCTCTATATTTTTTAAACATAAAAAAGCCCTCTTTTTTTTTTTTTTTTTTTTTCTCGCTTCCATCTGCAACTGTTTAGGGTAGTTTAGATTTACTGATGAAATACTGATAATTTGACGTTTGACAGAAGCATGCCCAAGCTAGCTTAGAGCGCGTCACATTTCACAGTCTATTCGCACTTTACAAGTGATCTGTTCCACGGGATAATCCCGCTGAATCCAGAGCTCTCTTGTCTCGTTTTATCGTTCTCCTCTTAACCGAGTTGATCCCTGATAGTGAGTTTCATAAACGTGTTCCCTGGTGCAGGGCTGTTAAATTGGCAGTTTGATCTCGTGAAGGGAAAGGAAAAAGCTTTTTTTGGAAATGTGGTTTCAATAATGCTACAGGCCAGCGTGGAACCCGCTTTTGACAGTGTCACTTTATTTGATACCATCTGTTAGTGAAAATATCTGAAGTGGAAGTTAGAGGGAAGATTTGAACTCTTACTCAGTTCTTCAGCATTTGGAGCATTTGAGTCTTCTGAAGGTTTTGTTATTATCATTATTCACTATAAAGAGGAACAGAAGTAGTCTAAAGGCCTAACATAGTGACATATTCTAACAAGCTTAAAATCCGTACTTTCATTCACAGTATAAAACGAATAATGCGGTCGAGGAGAGGCTACTTCGGGGTTCAGCCTCTTGGAACACACTTTTCTCCCTCAGTTATTGTCTCTCCTTGTTCATTATTTCCACCTTGAGAGTCGATCTTCAGGAGAGAATTTAGGTGACCTGCTACCAGAGTGGCAGAAAGCTCATTTCAGCAGCCAGCTCAGCTCCCTCGGCAAACTTTATGCAGAAATAACAGCCACAGCGCGAGAAGTAGCTCTGGAAGCGAGTAGCACACGCGCGACTATCCTCAGCCTAGCACGGGCCATGGGGAGGCGGGAAGGAGTGTGTGTGTGTGTTGGCGGGGGGGTGTCTCCACTCCCAGCGCCTCCTTTGGGAAGTGCTCCCAGAGAGACGGC